CACTTGAACCACAGTGCCACTTCCAGTTTTTAGGTAGTTAATTGGAGAGAAGAGTCTCACAGGGATTTTTCTGCCCAGGCTGGCTTGGAGCAGCAATCCTTAGATCTTAACATCCAGAGTAGTTTAGGATTACAGTCATGAGCCATTTTTTGGCAGACAAAAGGAAGGAAAGGACTACATCTCCATAGATATATGCCCAGACCACTGGCTGAGTCACCGTAGGAGAGGGGGATTTTCTACAACTTTATTTCAAAATAATATAGCCAAAAACTCTGGAAGACAATAACTCTATGCTATCTCACCAATAATTTAACCAGAAGAAACAAAAGCCAAGGCCTTCCTGTTTGGAAACTGCTGCTTTCTTAATTCTTTACAGGTTCAAGGAATCAAATCTGTGAGTCACAGTGACCTATGGAAAAGTTAAATCAAAGTTCTAATTGCTGGAGTGAGTTAGGCTGATGAACTTTCCTGGCCTGCATGGCAAGGAATGGTTCTTCCAGCTGGACCCATGGCATACGCCTATAATCCTAACTACTCAGGAGGCAGACATCAAGAAGATGGCAGTTCAATGTTAGCCCGGGCAAGGTTCTGGAGGCCCCTATTTAATAGATCCATTTTAGAAAGAAAAATACACTGAGGAACCCATACTACTTTCCACATAGAATGAGTTCAGCAAGTCCTCCCTAATTCAGAGTGAGCAGGAAAAGTCACCGTTGAAATAAGCAAAGGAGTTCTTGAAGTCTGTACTTCAAAGGAGTACTTGAAGCCAAATGATCTCGGCTTTTTTTTTCCTTACTAGTTTGTACAAACCAAAAACAAAAATTTAAGAAAACATAAAATGACTAAACTGTGATGGATTCAGAGTTAATAATATCATAACTTCCATTCCAAAGGTTAAAAATCTAAACACAAATCTTACCATAGATACCAAGCACTCTAGGATACAAAGAGAAGAGTGTATGAGAAATGCGATGGAAATTATGGGAGGTGTTAAGAGTGAGGGTATGAAGCAGGTTGGGGGGGTGGGGGTGCAGATCATACAAATATTTCCCCTCAAGTTTTAACTATCTAATAGCTATTGGTTAATGCTAGTATCCATCCAAACAGGACAAAGTACAAAAGCCACTCTGCCCCTAAAAATACCAGAAATATAATTTTTTAAAATGTTTAATTGCAAAAACCCTGAAATATCATGCAAACAAGGCAAGACACTGAAGAGCCTCTTCCCTATCTCACCAAAACCACCACTTTCCATCCTTTTGCTAAAGTGGTTGTCCTTGCCCCCCTCCAAAGCCTCTACATTCTCAAAGCAACTCTCTAGTAAAAAGCTATTTTTCTTTTCTTTTTTTCTTTTTTGAGCCAATCCTTGGGCTTGAACTCAAAGCCTGAGTTCTGTCCCTGACCTTTTTGCTCAAGAGAGTGTAGAACTCTACCACTTGAGCCACAGCTCCATGTGCAGTTTTTTGGTGGTTAACTGGAGATAAGAGTCTCATAGAAAGCCGGGCGCTGGTGGCTCACGCTTGTAATCCTAGCTACTCAGGAGGCTGAGATCCGAGGATCGCGGTTCAAAGCCAGCCCGGGCAGGAAAGACCATGAGACTCCTATCTCCAATAAACCACCAGAAAACCGGAAGTGGCGCTGTAGCACAAGTGGTAGAGCGCTCGCCTTGAGCTGAAGAGCTAAGGGACAGCGCCCAGGCCCAGAGTTCAAGCCCCACGACCAACCGAAAAAAAAAAGTAAAAAAAATTTAAAAAAATTAAAAAAAAAAAAAGAGTCTCATAGACACTTTCTTGCCTGGCTTCCAGCTGTGATCCTCAAATCTCAGTCTCCTGAGTAGCTAGGGCATCACAGGTGCCTCGCCCTAAGTTTATATTTTAAAGGTTATTAGAAATAGCTATTTTTTTTTCCAGTCCTGGGGCTTGAACTCAGGGCCTGGGCACTGTCTCTGAGCTTCTTTTGCTCAGGCTGCCACTCTACCACTTGAGCCACAGTGCCACTTTAGGCTTTTCCTGTTTATCTGGTACTGAGGAATCAAACCTAGGGTTTCATGCATCCTAGGCAAGCACTCATCCACTAAGTCACCTTCCCAGCCCAGTAACGGCCTTGTGTTGTTGTTGTTGTTGTTGTTGTGGGGCCTGAACTCTGGGCCTAGGCAATGTCCATCAGCTGTTCAGCGCAAGGCTAGCGCTCTACCCCATGAGCCACAGCGCCACTTCTGGCTTTTTTTTCCCTGCTTATGTGGTACTGAGGAATTGAATCCAGGGACTCATGCATGCAAGGAAAGCAATCTACCACTGAGCCTCCTTCCCAGCCCCCAGAAACAGCCTTTTTGAGATTGAAATAAACATGTGCAAAAGAAAAGCAATTTCATTCTATATTTTGTTCCAAAAATACCTACTTAACTTTGCTAATCCTAGTAAAGTTACTAGTAACTTCTAATAGACAAAGAAAATGTGTTTCTGTTCTGCGTTTATATGCTAATTGGGAAAATAAAGAACAAAAACCAACAAAAACTAAAATTGAAGATCCCAGTCCTAGAAAAGAGTAGTTGACTTTAAAATGAACTCTATTTCTTTTGGTTTATTTCCAATATATATATATATATATTCTGAGAAAAAAAATGTAGGGCTGGGAAGGTGGCTCAGTGGTAGAGCACTTGCCTTACATGCTCAAGGCCCTGGGTTCGATTCCTCAGCACCACATAAGCAAAAAGAAAAAAGCCGGAAATGGCGCTGTGGCTCAAGTGGTAGAGCGCTAGCCTTGAGCTGAAGAGCTGAGGGACAGTGCCCAGGCCCAGAGTTCAGGCCCCACGACCGGACCCAAAAAAAAAAAAAAGAAAAAAAAAATGTATGCTTCAATGGATAAACTAAAAACAAACTGCAGTATATACATACAGTAGGGTATTATTCAACCATAAAAAAAAAATGAAGCCCTGATACATACTATAATGTTAGATTAACCTTAAAAACATTAAGTGAAAGAAGACGAATGCACAAGATCAGATATTGTAGGATATAAAATATCCAGAACAGGTAAAGTCAAAGACATTGAAGAGTGGTTGCTGCTTAGAGTTACCATAAGAATAAGGAGTAGCTGGGCGCTGGTGGCTCACGCCTGTAATCCTAGCTACTCAGGAGGCTGAGATCTGAGGATCGCGGTTTCAGCCCGGGCAAGAAAGACCGTGAGACTCCTATCTCCAATAAACCACCAGAAAACCGGAAGTGGCGCTGTAGCTCAAGTGGCAGAGTGCTCGCCTTGAGCTGAGGGACAGTGCCCAGGCCCAGAGTTCAAGCCCCACAACCGACCAAAAAAAAAAAAAAAAAGAATATGGAGTAACTGGTTAATAGGAACAACGTTTTCTTTGGGATGATGAAAATGTTTTGGAACCAGATAGGAGTGGTGGTTGTGCAATATTGTGAATGTACTAAACAGTGAATTGTCACTTTAAAACTGTTGATTCTGATGTGAATTTCAACTCACTTTAAAAAAAATCAATCAAGTTGGGCGTGGTGTCATATGACTGTAAACCCAGCACTCAGAAGGCAGAGACAGGAGGATCTCGAAGTTTGAGGCCAGCTTGGACTAAATAATGAATAATCAATCAAACCACAGTACTCGAAGGTAGAAAGATTAAGAGTTCAAGGATAGGTCTCAAAATACATGCACAATAACAAAAATCATTTTTAAAAGTTAGCATACAAATGAGCAAAACAAGATGCATGTGTGTACGTGTGCATGTGTGTGTGAGTGAGAGAGAGAGAAAGAGAGAGAGAGAGAGAGAGCCACCCTTAAACTTCTAGAGCAAAGATAAACATTTCTGCTCTTGATTACGTCAAGTTCAAGTGCTAAGTGGTAGAGACTTTGCCTCTGGACTGTTTATCTCTGTGTGTGGATGTCTTTCTAGAAAAGACATGGAAAGGAACAGAAATTGCAGAAAATATGATAAAAGCTTTTGCCAAGTGTAAGAGAGGAGGGGTGGTTCCCCCTACTGCACCCCACCCAATCTGGCACAAAGAGGAATGCTCCCATTAGGGTTTCAAAATGCCAGTCCAAGCTGGAATCAACACAGGCAAACTTCTTTGCCTGGATAAAAGAATAAGCCACCCAGCAAGCAAAGCTGGGGTGCTCCATTTGCTGCTCATTCTTGTATGTGAACTACCCTTTGCTCAAAAGCCTTGCCCTGACTCAAATCAGAATACATGACTTGCTCACCCAGGGGCCAGCCTCACAGCCAGGGCTCAGGGATCTCATTCTACTTCATCCCTTCTACCTTCCAAGAATCTTGCCTTCAATATGTCTCCAAAGCACAAAGACATACACTACTAAAAATAGGGCCAAGAAATCAGGCACTGGTGGCTCAGGCCTGTAGTCCCACTAGCTACTCAGGAGGCTGAGATCTTCAGCAAAGTCTATGAGACTCTTAGTTCCAATGAACCACCAAAAAGCTAGATGGTTCAAGTGGTACAGTGCTAGTCTTGAGAAAGAAAAAAAATCTCAGGGACAACACCCAGGCCCTGAGTTCAAGGCCCAGGACCAGCACAATACAAACAAAACAAAAATGAAGCCAAGATGCCCTCGGACTGAAATAAATATCCTCTCAGGCCAGCTCAGCAACTGTGTACCCCTAAACACAGGTTAATAAGGTGCACACAGCCTCGGCCACCTGCCCCTTAGGTGATGGGGGTAGGGGGTTGGATTCGCCCCACAGGATCGGTAACAGGCACTCCCGCGCACCTACCAAGCCCGCCGTCTCCCAGGCCCCAGCGTCGCTTGGCGTGGGGTCTGCCACCTCCCTGACACCTTCACAGGTGTTCCTCACCGAAACACCAACGCCCCCTGAGCGCCTGCTGACGCCGGTCACCGGCGTTCCCCTCTGGACCCCTCAACTCTTTTACAACAATCCTCCAAACCCCTCCAGCCCCGTCTCGACCGACTGGACCACCTCACCCCCTCACCTCACCCTCGGCTCCCAGCCTGGCCCGGACGCCCCCTGCTCTTACCTGCGGGGGTTCAGCTCTGGCTGACAGGGGACCGGGCAGCGCCTGGAGGAGCAGGAGCGCCATGCCACCCAGGAGCCTTCTCCTCTCCATCCCCCTCCGGCTCCTGCTCCTCCGCTACGGCGCCGCCACCTTCCTCCTCCGCCTCCCTCTCTTCTTCTTCTCCTTCCTTCTTCCCTTCTTTCCTGTTCCACTCTCTCCCTCCCGCTTCCGGCTCGGCTCTGCCCCGCCTCAGGAAAAACTCCCACCCAGACACGGGGGAGGATCTCCAGTCGCAGCGCCTCATTGGCTCTTACCCTCCGCCCATTGATCAAAGTAGACGTCGATCAAACTACCGGTCACGCCCCCCCCACGTGAAGAACTAAGCAATCCAGCCAATGAAAAGTAGGAGGAAGCCGGGCCATATTGAATGCTGCAAGGTGATGTAAAATGCGTTCCGCCCCGGAGAGAGTGGCGGAAGTATCCAAGATCACGGGGTGGAATGTCGAGGAAAGGACCGAAAAGGCTAGTTCGAATGCAGCCATTTTGAGTGTGGCGGAACTTCTAGATTTCCACGCTTCAGCCCAAAATGAGGCGTGTGTTAAAAGATGTTATAGAGTGAGTTTTTTCCAGGTTAACTGAGTGCTTCTAAAGAGAAAAATAATTTCAATCTAATAAGATCAATGATTGCTCTTGTCTTGAAACAATTGTTAGGTACCTTTTCCAATCTCAAAGTACCCAAGCAACAATTCAGGTCCATTTGAATTGTTTAGATATTGTGCAGTAGGAAGACCCCTACTCAGGCAGGCAAGCCCACCTAGTCCTCCAGAGTGACAGAACCCACCACAAGTAAGTTAACAAAGAAGCAACTTTATTGAGAAGGTTCCTATACTGACGGGTCAGGACCACAGCACAGGCTCTGGAGCTGATACTGCGACCCCAAGCCGCCCCCATTCTTTGGTTTTTAAAGGCAAAATCCATGAAGTCGAGCCAGGTCATGCACAGGTGACCAATGGGATCATAACACACACAAAGGATTGTACAGTCATACCAGACCACACACAGGTGGCAAGCGAGGTTACAGTTTGTCTGTAATGACTGTTAAAACCAGCCTATCACCTTTGTTTAAAATGGCATGCAAATTTAGCAGGTAAGGCGAGGTCTACCTTTTAGTGGACAAAAGGCAGAGTTTACTGTAAGCATGTGCAAAAGGTAGTGTTTACCAGAAGCACGTGGTGTTACCAGTTTGAGCCAGATTACAACCACAGGTTTTAAAAGTCAGTCTTTAACTCAACAATCAAGGGTGGGTTAGGTTGTTAAGTGGAGGGGGACCAGATGCATTTTTTTTTTCATTCCGGGAACCAGGCCCATCAAGTCTAAAATCCCAAAAACAAAGGCAAAGCTCAAAATGGAATCATACCAGCTTGGGCCCCATCTCAGGGTCCACTTCAATTGTACCTTTTGAAGTAGGGAGGTCTGGTCTGGCTGGCACCATATCATGGTGCTTTGCCACCCCAAGATTCAGGTCCAAAACTCCTGTGACTCTTACCTCAGAAACAGCTCTGGCCCGGGCGCCGGTAGCTCATGCTTGTAATCTAGCTACTCAGGAGGCTGAGATCTGAGGATCGCAGTTCAAAGCCAGCCCAGGCAGGAAAGTCTGTGAGATTCCTATCCCCAATAAACTACCAGAAGTGGGGCTGTGGCTCAACTGGTAGAGCGCTAGCCTTGCGCTGAAGAGCTGAGGGACAGTGGGAAAGAAGGAAGGAAGGAAGGAAGGGAGGGAGGGAGGGAGGGAGGGAGGGAAAGGAAGGAAGGAAGGAAGGAAGGAAGGAAGGAAGGAAGGAAGGAAGGAAGGAAGGAAGGAGAAAGAAAGAAGGAAAGATCAATTTTATTCAGCTTAAGAGTCCACAGTTCTGGGCTGGGAATATGGCTTAGAGGTAGAGTGCTTGACTAGCATGCATGAAGCCCTGGGATCAATTCCTCAGTACCACATAAACAGATAAAGCCAGAAATGGCACTTTGGTTCAAGTGGTTGAGTGCTAGCCTTGAACAAAAGTTCAGGGACAGTGCCCAGGATCTGAGTTCAAGCTACAGGACTGACAAAAAAAAAAGGAGGGGCTGGGAAGGTTGGCTCAGTGGTAGAGCACTTGCCTTGCATGCATGAGGCCCTGGGTTCGATTCCTCAGCACCACATAAGCAAAAAGAAAAAAGCTGGGAGTGGGACTGTGACTCAAGTGGTAGCGCGCTAGCCTTGAGCTGAAGAGCTGAGGGACAGCACCCAGGCCCAGAGTTTAGGCCCCACAACTGGACCCAAAAAAAAAAAAAAAAAGGGAGTCCATAATTCTGCCTCTACCTTTAAAAACAACTGACTTTTAAATCTTTTGTATTAGCACACATTAATTGTACAAGGATTTCATTCATTGTAACATTTCCATAAATACAATGTACCTCACCATTGCCTGCATTTTAAAACAATACCAATGGCTTCAATTGTTTTATTTCCATACTGGCAAATAAATTACATTATTTGCTCTCTCCATTTACTCTCCCACTCCTGTTGGTACACCGTTCCCCCCCCACCAAAAAAAAAAAAAACACAAAAGAGCCAGTTTTACCTTCTTGTCATTTTTTAGTGTATATTAACAGTACCAAGGAGTTTCACTATGGTACTTCAGAAATGCATATATTTTGCTCAGAATAACTCTATTTCTTTCCCTTCTTGCCGTCAGATCCCTGCCAGCTTCATAATTAGGATGTATTTAAAATATACTACCCCTTTAACTTTCTTGATCCCTCATCCTATAGTTAGAATCCTACAGTAAGAATCTTTTTTTTTTTTGCTTTTGAGACAGTCTTGCAATTAATGCCCAAATTGGCCCCAAACTCCTTTCAAACAATCCTCCATTTCTGCCTCCCAAGTAGCTGGAACTATAAGGACATACCACTATACCTGGCTTTGCCTCTTTTGCTCCTGCTTTCCAAGTACTTTTGACAACCTCTGGTTTTTAGAAATTCATTGATCCCACAAATCAAGATCCTTAGGAGAGAAGATGGGTACTAGGCAAGGACCAAGTTATTTCATGGCACAGTAGCTCTCAATTCTAGCCTCAAGAAGCTGTAAGAATTGGATGTAAGGTGCTGGGAAGGTGGCTCAGTGGTAAAGTGCTTGTCTCGTATGTATGAGGCCCTGGGTTTGATTCAGAAAAAGCTGGAAGTGGTGCTGTGGCTCAAGTGGTAGAGTGCTAGCCGTGAGCTGAAAAGCTAAGGGACAGCACCCAGGCCCAGAGTTCAAGCCCCATGACCAGCAAAAAATAATAATTGGATATAAGCCATTTATTGGTGGCTCAAGCAATCCTAGATATTCAGGAAGCTGAGACATAAGGATCATAGTTTGAAGCCAGCCTGAGCAAAAAAGTGCATGACTCTTTGTTGTTTGGTCATGGGGCTTGAACTCAGGGCCTGGACACTGTCCCTGAACTTTTGTGCTCCAGGATAGCCCACTACCACTTTGAACCACAGCTCCATTTCCAGTTTTCTGGTAGTTAATTGGAGAGAAGAGTCTCACTGACTTTTTTAAATGGGTTGGCTACAAACTGTGATCCTCAGATCTCAGCCTCGGAGACTCCCAGATCTCAGCCTCCTGAATACCTAAATTATAGGCATGAGCTACCAGCACCCAGCATGAGACTCCTTATTTCCAATTAATCACCAAAAAGCTGAAAGTGGAGCAGTGGCTCAAGTGGCAGAGTATAACCCATGAGCAAAAAAAGCTAAGGAACAGTTCCAGTACCAGCATACAAACACATACACACACACACACACACACACACACACACATTCATGTAAAAGCCTAGGCAGCATTAGGAAACACCAATTCTATCTGGAAAATACAGCAGCATCCTTTTCTCCTGAGAGCTACTGAATAAGACGATCACAAAACCTTACCACAGCAATCCCTTCTAGTTACCCTCACTGCCTTTCATCGATGGGAGCCAACTAAAAGAAGGCAGAGACGCTACAAAGCAGCTGAGATGCAGTATGGAGAAACGCTTTTCTTTCTCTTTTTTCCTTTTGGTCAGTGGTGGGTCTGAACTCTGGGCCTGGGCGCTGTCCCTCAGCTCTTGAGCTCAAGGCTAATACTCTACTATTTGAGTCACAGCGCCACTTCCAGCTTTTTCTGCTTATGTGGTGCTGAGGAATCGAACCCAGGGCCTCATGCATGCAAGGCAAGCACTCTACCACGGAGTCATCTTCTCAGCCCCTTTTTAATTTTGCAGTCCTGGGGCTTGGGCACTGTTCCTGAGCTTCTTTTGCTCAGGGCTAGCACTCTATCACTTGAGCCACAGTACCACTTCTGGTATTTTCTGTGTATGTGGCACAGAGGAATTGAACCCAGGGTCTCATGCATGCTAGGCAAGCACTCTACCACTGAGCTACATTCCCAGCCAAGGAGAAACACTTTTTAAAGTGCTCCAGGCACAAGGCTCTGGCTTCCACCCCAGGCACTTCAAATACACACAAATAAAAGTGTTCCCCACCTCCAACACACACTGAAGCCACCACATACTCTATAAACTTTTCCAAAAGACTGATTGTCTATGAAGAGAAGATGCATGCCAGGCTCCAGGAGCTGAAAAACAAAGGGAAAGGCTGCCAGATCTTGAAAGAGTATCAGTGAGGAACTGTTCCTGAGCTCCAGCTAGCTTTGGTAATGTTTCTCTTTTCCTATTTATCTGCAAAATGGAAGCCAGTTCTCCCATCCTAAGGAAGCCAGATTAGAAAGACTTCTACTCAGACACTAGCTAGAATCAAATTGCTCAGAGACATTGAAAACATATTAAGTGCAAGAAGTCAGACACATAAAGCCCCATAGTGCATGATTATGTTTATACAAAATGTCTAGTAGACAGGGCTGGCATGTGATACACACCTATAATACCAGCACTTGGAGGCCACTGGAGTTCCAAACCGGCCTAGGCTACATAGTGAGATTTTTGCTACAAAAAGAGTACATTTTATGGTTGGTGAGTAATATTTTATTTTTGTGGTACTGGGGTTGAGTTCAGGGCCTCATGCTTGCTATTTAGGCATTCTTCTTTTTCTGCCAGTCCTGGGGCTTGAACTCAGGATGTGGGCACTGTCCCTGAGCTTCTTTGTGCTCAAGGCTAGCACTCTACCCCTTGAACCAAAGCACTACTTATGTGGTACT